CTGGAAAAACTAACAAACTACAGAAACTTGGCAATTTAAATAATCTCGCTTGTGGATGTAAAACACTTCAGTGGTCCCTGTAATCATCAGGACTTTAAAGATCTGAGATTTCCAGATCCAAACTGATACGAATTGTCCAGATCATTGACATTGCAATTCCAGGGGATGCCAGAGTTGAAAATAAAGAACTGGAAAAACTAACAAACTACAGAAACTTGGCAATTTAAATAATCTCGCTTGTGGATGTAAAACACTTCAGTGGTCCCTGTAATCATCAGGACTTTAGGAACAATATAAAGAAATTTCACACAGTACTATAAACAGTTTCAGATCTCAGAAATAACACCATCAGAGCTACAAAAAATGGCAGTATTAGGAACAGCATACTGTTGGTTAAAACTTGTATCTGTTATATAATACCAGTCACTGTTTTCATAATTTTGATTATCTCAGAAACAATACCATCAGAGCTACAAAAAATGGCAATATTAGTAACAGCATACATACTGTTTAGATATTTAACAGATGCTCAGGTTTTTAGTTACAACTTATTGTCTGTTATGTAATACCAGTCAAGGTTTTTATAGTTTTGATTGTGCTTGGTGTTTTATAATGATGATGATGATGATGATGATGATGATGATGATGATGATGATGATGATGATGATGTCTCGCCTCCCACATTGTTCAGCAGGGGAAATCCTCTGAAACAGGTTTTGAGGCATATTCCTCAGAAATCTAATATTGTCCAATCAGTCTGTAGATGTGTGGCTGAGTGGCAGAATTTAGTACAAGATGATACACAACATTTATTCCTTTATAGCATTTTCTTAATGCTAAAACATTGTCACTGACCAGATCTGGTACAAGGAATACTCTGTGTCAATGGCCAACAATGTTTTCAAACTTGCACGGCAAATGACACACACGCTTTGTGTGACAGGATGAACACTTTTGATCCAATGTATGAATTGCAAATGAAGGAGAATTAGAATTCACAGGGACTGGCTGAGATCAGGTGGAAATTTTATGGACTGGGGATAAATTTGAAAGCTTGAAACCACAGCTTTGGTGCCTAATTGAGACTATAAAGTACAGTACTGGAAAAGATGAGTTCCTCTCTGCTCCCTCTTGAGTTCCCCCCTGCAGTATCTGATGGCTAGGGGATAAATTGTTGATCCAGAAGCTTTTAATAGCTGCAGAGATGGTGGTGGCGAAGCATTCAAAATCTGTAAATATGCTAACCATTTTGGAAAGCCTAGGGAAATCTGTGAACATTGCTAAAAGGAAAAAAAAATATGTGAGGCATTCATCTCAGTCCAAGAGGAGGAAAGACTCCCTACAAGAACAGTTGCTGCATGTGTGTTTCCTGGGGCCCAAAGCCTCAACCTAAGGCTAGGTTTATGCATGCTTGACTAGTCTGTGCATGTGTACAGTTGGACGTGTGCCTATAGCTCATGCATTATGACAGTCGGTTTAAAATAATAACAGATGGACCTGCAGTGCCTTTTGCACCAAAAGGCAAATATCCATGCACTTTCTATCCAGCTGTTTAAAGGTTTAAGAGTAAACACATTTTAATATGGCATCTGTCCTGCTGTCCATCCCAATGGCTTGACTGTGAATGAGGAATCTGTGTGGCGAGTAAAGTGTTTACACATTTCTAATGCCAGTGTTTTGGAGGAGGGTGGGTTGGGTTAGGAATTGCAATCTGATTCTTCCACCATGTATACAGGAAGTACAAAGAGCTGTGCTTTCTAACTGACTGGGCTTTATCCCACCGCTCCACCTGCTTTTCTTGTGACCTTCATTCAGCTCAAGCGCTCGTTTTGTCTTTCCGAGACTGAAGGGCATGCTAAAGATTCTGAAGATAGGTGCGACCCGGGTGTCTTTCAAGGCGTCAAAATTGCTGGAGACATCCCTGCGTGTGTTGTGCAGCTCTCTTTTTGTATATACGATCAAGGAAATGCAAACCAGATTAATCCAAGAGGATGATTTACCAGAGGCACCCCTTTCCCCCCCCACCTGACCCTGTCCCTTATCTGCATTGCAGGAAAGCAGAAACAGGAATGAAAGATACTCCAATATCCTCTCCCGGCTTCCCAGCTTTTTCAGCTACCTCCTCCCCCCACCCTGATATCACCTTAACCCCATCTCAGTTTGAGCCCTCCGCTCATCTGTTTCAAGAAAGATGCCATGGAGAGTGGATTCAGCCAGGCTGTCAATGTATCCATCCACATTCTCAGCCTCTGTTCAGTGTTCCATGACAACAAGGTAAGATGGTAGAGGTTATCCGAACAGCTGCTTCCTGAGCTAGAAATTCCAGGCATTGAAAACCATCTGTCTATACATTCGCAAATGTATATAAGGGCAATCTATCAGACTGCAGGCCTGCAGCTGCCACTCGATCAGGCCCTGCTTCCTTTCTAGCTGTGGAACAATAAGAGCTAGTTCTTCACTTTGTGTCACACAGAATGGCTGATTTGATTAAGTCCCCAACTCTCATTATGCTAGGTAGGGGTGTAGAATTTCAATGATAATCCATAATGCATGACCAGTTTGTCACCATGGCAACATAAATTCAAGGTTACTAGCTCAGACGCATAATTGGGTGCGCATTGAGTGCTGAAGAAGGGCTGTTAAAATTCTTGTCATAGAAGAGTCGCATCCATCACACTGTCTAAAAAAAATTGCCAAGTGCTCATAATCAGAAAGTGGGGGAGGTTAGGAATATCCTCAGAGAATATTATATTAATAAAATAACAATCGTGTCTAATAGAATTGTTTAAATTTTAGCATAGTTTAAAAATGTAAGCATTTTAAGTAATAATGATCAAATAGAAGTCAAAATCAGGGCCCTGTGGTTTGACATTCATCAGCTTCCACAATATTTGTATAAGAAGGCCGGTTTAAAACACTTCTGCTCAGAGTATGACCCACCCGGAAAGAATCTAATCCTACACAATAAAGGAAATTTGTGTCACTCACATGGTTTGGGATGTCGTCCACATTAAGATTAGACTTTTTTTAAAAAAAAAATAACATGTCATTGAGAATGTTTGCAGGTTGTAAAGAGACAGAAAATATGGAGAAATGAGGATTCCTCTTTCTTAAAAAAGCAAAACAGTCAAATTATGGCAGCCATTTTAAGTCTCCAGGATAAAAATAGGCAGGATTGAGGACCAGATGCGAAGAATCTGAGAAACAGACAGGAAAGGAGTGTCTAGAAAATGCATCAGGGAAATACAGTAGGTGGCTTACCTCTTCCTTCTCTCTTGCCCATATGTCCCATTCTTGGCTTTTATCTGGTAGATGTCAATTTTTATTCATTTTTTTAAAAAAACACCAATTTTTAAAACATTTCAAACATTAATTGGTCTAAAAGTCATGCCCATAAAGCAAAAACACAGTTCTTTTACTATTACCTCTCTGTACACGCCATATTATCTCATGCGTAGATATTTCCAGTATAACACATTTATTGCATGGGATTTTCTCTAGCAATCATACTTAATATGTTATTATATAATGTAGTACTAAAGATCATAAGGCTGAGATCTTTAGATCTTTTTCTGATTAAACCCATGCAAATCTGATGAGTGTGACACAGCTCAAGTTATGCCCTTGACAGTCCCATTTGGAAGAGTTAAGTATATGTTTACATAGATTTAATTTGGCCAAGATCACATCACCCTCCTCACGTAAAGGTACACCATGTGAGAAGTGCTTACAGGCTCTTTCGAAGGATCATTTCTTAGCCTTTCAAGCACAATAGTGCTGAAATGCAACCCTTTTGTCCCTATTCCGAATGAGTGCCAACCACTGATGATCTTCAATGTCGTTTATTTCTGCTTTTATTTGCATTTGTTAGTAGGAGGCTTTGCTTCTTCCTATAACAGTGGGCTTCCTCTTTAAAAAAAACCCTGTGTCTGTTGTGAAACTACTGTGACGGCAGCAGTGCGGCTTTTTCACGTGCTTTGCAGCTCAGACGAGGAGAAGGTGTTGTGTGACACTAGCTTTGAGGCAGGCAGGGGAATGATCACAAAGAAGGAATGGCTGTTCTCATTCTCCCTCAACTCTTAATCTTGGACTAGCACGGCTGTGTAGTGTGTGTGTGTGTGTGGGGGGGTTGAACACCCTTGTTGTCATTTTTGCTGTTGTTGTTTCGGGGTCTCAACTGCTGCAGGTTTCCTTGCTCACACCGCATCACTTAAAAGATAAAAGACTTGGTGATATTCCCAGATCTCCGGAAGTGTCTCAGGAATGCTGTATTTATTAAACTGAAGAGATTTTTTAAAACTGTGTTTCAAAATGTTTTTTAAATCGTTTTTAATCTTCTTGATATGTGTTTAATTGTTTTTAATATTGTCTCTATGGCATTATTTTAAAACTCTTGATTGTGTAGTATTGATTGGTGGGAGCTGTCTTCAAACCCGTTTATATAAAAGAAAGACTGAGTTCTTTCTGGGTTTGTCTTCTATTGTATCTCTTGTAGAAGTATTATAATATTGGCTTATTTATCTTGAAGTGTGTATTTTAAATATGTATGTGGATTTTAAAAATTTCTGCCCTACAGTTTGACAATACCCTGAAGTTGGCTTCCACGCTGATTTTTTTAAAAAAATTACAATAAATTAATAGCAATATAATATGATTAATTAAAAATGTTATAAACAGAGATAATGATGAAGAGAGGCACACAAACACAAATATTTATGTGTGTATAGACAGGTATAATAGCATGTCTGCTTTCATTTAACATTGCCAATAGTGAGTTTTAGTTTAACATCACTGAGTGGTTTTCATAGGCTTGGTAAGGAGCTATGGTTGAATAATGGGAGGCAATGACTTGCAAAATAAAGCCGAGTAGGGTTACCCTAATTCTGACAGGAGGACTAGTAGCTTATTTATGAGCAAATAACCCTCTCCTCCTCTTTGGCGCCTTTCCCTGAACTTCATTTCCTTTCACCTTCTAGCCAAATATGCCCTTGACAGAAATACAGAATTGATGGGTGGACGAGTGCTGCTCATCTCACACCTTTGTGGTCCCATAAGACCCATAACATGAGGTGAGCAGCATACTCAAAGGTTTATTGTTGTAAGTTTGTCACATCATTTCCTTAACTAAATACCCATTTATGGCCCACTTTTCACAAACATCAGATCGAAGGCTAAACCCATGTCTGTGAAGGAGCACAAGACCAGGCCCCTCAGATCTTGTTGGACCGTTAACTTCTACAACCAACACGGGCAAAGGTGAGAAGCAATGGAGGCTGTGGATTAACAACAACTGGAGGGCCACAATTTCCCAACCTGTGCAGTAGAGGTGAGAGAAAATCACAAGGATAGCTTTATCGCCCATTCAAAAAGGTCCAAGGCTATTAAGAAACTGTTAGGATGAAAGGACCCCATTTTTCTGCATCCAATCATGAAAACCATAGAAAACCATGAAAAATGTCAATAATAGTTTGAAGTGATATTGTCCAAACCAAAAATAACCCTGAGAGAAACCATACCAGGGGGTACCATGCTACTAACCAAGCATAAAAAATGTCTGATCAGCTCAACAACGCACACTTTATTGTGATATTGGGAACCTATGACGTTCTGGAAGGACGGAGGGATTTTCCATGCCAGAAGAATGCAAGGAAATTTGTAATTAGCCAGTAAAACAACGTAGCCTTTCTTAAGGGTTTTGTTGTCTGTCTTATGATGTACCTATCACAGTAGCAATAGGTGTCTGACCAACCGAAGGCTGTGAGGGGCATTCCCCTTTCATTCCAAGGTGATCAGGATTCTACCTGCAGTTTGTATTTGCCTTTCGAGTTGAGGGGAGCCGATTTGTTTGAAACTCAGTTGCAAGAACAGAGAGAAGTCATTTGAATCTGCTGGATAGCTCAGGGGTTAAGGTCTCTGACTGTGGAGCCAGAGGTTGGGAGTTCGATTTCCCCACTGTGCCTTCCTGACAAGAGCTGGATGATCCATAGGGTCCCTTCCAGCTATGCAGATCTAAGATGATGGTGATGATGAGATATATGAACATATAAAGGTGCTCCATAGTCTCAATCCATAGAAGCCTCGGTTTCATAAATGTAAAAGTAAAGACCTGACAAAGATCAGGTTTCTAAAGTTCTGTTTATTATTAAAATTCAACTGTGTTTTTTTTTGCTCAAAATTGTGGGTATGATAGTGGCATGCTCTTTTTTAAAAACTAAGTGTATTCTGCAGTTGTTATGAGACTTAGCTTTACAAGCTGATCTTACATGACCTACCAGTAAGCAACCTGAATCCCACACCACAATCCACTGCTGACTTCCAATTTATTGCATTCCACTCCTTCCCCCCTATTTCCACTACGATTTAATTCCTCATTAAAGGGATACAACCCATATCAACTGCAAATGAAGGAAAATGCTTTCTGATGGCCCTTTTTTCTGCCATCTGCATTAGAACTGCAAAATATATGGGGGGTTTTATTCCTGAAATTAACACAGCTTCTCCTGAGGACTTGGAATGGGGCAGGATCAGACACACCAATGTTCTGGTGGTGGTTGCATGGCGGCAAACAGAACAGCAGCAGTAATACTAATGCTAATTATTTCTTCTTCTTCGTGTTCGTCAGCTTTAATAAGATCCGTTGATAAGGCGTGTTTTTATCTGAACGTAAAGCTGCTGGAATAAAAAGCTTTCAGATACCACATCTGGAAATATATTCACTTCTTGATGTGTGCTTGTAATTCCAATTAACATTATGTAAATGAGAGTAAGCCCCCATCAGGGGCTATTGAGTTAGGGGAGGAGGGCAGGAGTAGCTTTGCGGTTCTGATTTAAATAACAAGGGACTTTTGTGAAGGGTGTCAGCATGCGGTCCCATGCGCTCCCCTTGCCAAATACAGCCACAGCTCTCAAAGAGAGTCTCCCATGTATATATTGATGCTTAATGGTGCTTAGCCAAGTGAATCCATCGTTAGGGGCAAATATTAAACCCCCAATGTGCTTATTCCAGGAAGGGAGTATTTTCAAAAAGGGTCCCCCTCTGTTGGGGAGCAGGCATCAAAGAGCTTACGGGGAGAGAATGACTTTGTGAATAAGAGAAAAGGAGACTGGTGGAGTTCAAAGGTGTGGATCATTTGTATTTGTGCATGGTGTGTGTGCGTGCGTGTGCGCGCGCCACTGGAATATCCAGGATGCCTAAAGAGTTTGGCGGAATTAGCATTTGAAGCCTTGGATGATTGTGTTCACATTGTCAACTTGGTGCTTAACTCTGGTAGAGACTTTTGGAGGTCCATTTGAAACCCTGTTTTTTTTTTTTTTTAAATCTATGTAAAAAGAGATTCCCTTGTATTGTTGCTTTTTTTTGGTGAAATATTCTTTTCTTCCTATAAAAATAAGCACAACACACCATCTGTCTTGCTCTGATTCCCTTCTTATACAAGACAGAGGGTGTGCATTAGAATGTTACAGATGTTGGCAGCATCGTTTGTCCTGTAGGGACAGATGTGGCCGGTGGGGGATCTACTTCAGTCACAACTGGCCAATATTTGTAGGCTGGAGATCCAGCAATAGCTGTCACCGACAGCTTGGTGGCCAGTTGACCCAGAGACATGGCACTTCATTTGGCTGCTTGCCAGCACATATGATAGAGGATTAGAGCTAAAATGCACGCATTGGCGTCTTGATGTAAAAACGGCTACCGAGCAGAAGAAAACAGGCTGCCAGGCAGATCAGTGTTATATGGCTCTAGCTGCTATGAGAACTGTTTTACACTTTCATTCCTGTGTCGTTTTATTTATGCCTTCATCCATATAGCTCAGGGGTTTAGGCATCGGTTAGGAGTTCGATTCCCCTCTGTTCCTCCTTGACAGAGGCTGGACGTGGTGATCCCTAGGATCCCTTCGAACTCTGCAGTTCTAAGATGATGGTTAGGATGATGACGACAACGATTATTCTATTAGGTGCCCAATAATAAACTGTTATCAGTGTCACTTTAATATAGATAAAGTAAATAAAATCCCATCGGCATAATATCAACCTCAAAAACACCTCCAACCTGTGCCATTTTGCGTTTGGGGTCAGGGATAGGCACAGTGTCTCTGTCTGTGTCTGTGATTTCCGAAGTTCACAGCTGCCTGCCAACAATGGGGCTGCCATTGCTCTTCATTCTTCCCCCTCACCCCTGCCGATATCTATCATCCTCTGTCTTCCTCTTATTTGTCAGTGGTGTTCAGGAACAGGCTTCCCATTGGCTTGCGTTCTCTGAAATCGTGGCCCATTTGTGAGGCTACCCTTGTATGCCTCTGACCAACCAGAATGAAAGGAGAGAAGTAGGAGAGCAAATGGCGACAAAACTTGAACAATGTGGGCTTGACGCTGCCTGTAGTTGGCTCTCGGCTCCTATTCTCCTCCTGCCCAGACTTTCTCTTAGCTTTGGCATCCACGGTCACTTTACTTGGTGCCTACCTTCGACCCAGGCAAGTGCTGGTGGTGGGAAATCTAAAAATGACTCTGAACAGATCTTTATTTGCATCTATTCATGTTATAGTTTTCAGGCTGTCCTGTTTCCCCTTGCAGTGTGGACATTCAGAAGTCGAAGCAGAAAGCTCGGTGGCATGCCGTCTTCTCTTCCCCGACAGTGGATGCAACACAAGCACATGCCTCTGTTCTGCAATTCAAACGGCACGATCCAAATGGTATTGCTGACAGTTTGTTACAGCAGGACTTGAAGTGCAGCTTGGAATAAAAAGACCTCAGGCTACTCCCGCCTACTGCATACCACTTACCTCCACAGGCGATAACAGAAGTTGACCTGAAGTACATAATTTATTGTCTGTTTGGTTCTCAGAAATGCTGCATAAATGGAAGCTTGTCCTTACATTTATGTGCTGTTTGTTTTGCATACTTTGAGGCACTGTGTTTTGTTGGGTAGAGGGCTGCCTTCCCGGGGTTTGCCATACTCATGGCCCAACACAATGTACTTCAAATGGAGAGCAACATGGTGTGTGTTTGCAAACACACTGAATGTGAAGGGGAAAATGACTGTAGGAATGGCCATGATAAGCAACAGCCACACACTGCATGTGGGCATTGCTGTATGCTATTAGAGTTAAGGTAAGTGCAGCTGTCAACTGTTTGTTGAAGCGTGCATTGATGTCATAAATGTCCACCATATGCAGGAACAGACTACTGCCTTCAACATATGCATTAAGGTCACTGGTGGTGCCATGGTTACTTATATTTTATTTTGCTGCTTATGTTGTGTCACACTATCATTTTTCATTTGTCCATTTATTTGTAACCTGTGTTGGATTCTACCAAGGGGAAAGGTGATATGTATGTAAATAAATAAGGATATCAGAAACCCATGAAACAGGAATGCAAATTATGGGTAGGGCTATGCATAGGTCCTCTGATCCAGCTTTAGTGCCAGGCAGGCACCCTTGAACTAAGCCCAATCCGATACACTCCTGTCTGGGCTTTCTCCAGATATCCAGAAGACTCCATTGGTTTTTTTGGGGGGGTGGGGGGTGGGAGAGTGTTTTTCTTTATTAGGAAACCCATGTACATTTGCAAAATATTTTATGTCCTTAAAACCAAACAAATCCTAATAATCGTGTGCTATCATGTCAGTTCTGATTCATGGAATACTCAGAGTACTTAGAAGTAGTTGACCATTCACTTCTCTTTTTTATTAACATTTTATTAGTTTTTCAATCTATCTACATTCAGTTCATGCTTGTTAAACATCATGTTACATGGGTTGCTTATAATTATTTGTTTTTGTGTCTTGGTGTTTTCTTAGTTGTCCCTTCAAAATCTATACATTTTTAAAGCATTTGAACCAATCATGTGTGTATATTAGTGTTATAATATGACTGCTATCATAATATTACTCTCATAGTATACAACACAGAGCACTCCAGTGTTGCTTCAATGCATTCACAAGCAGCTTTGACTTAGCAGAGACAGAAAAGTGATGGGATGGCCTGCTGGGGGATTTGATCTTCCCCATCAGCACTTTTAAGAGCTCTCCCAACCCTTAAAAAATAATAATAATAATAATAATCCTGTAGCCTCGGATGGTTTTTTTCGCATCAGAAAGTGCAAGAACCACCACCACCACCCCGCAAGCCTTGACCACACTTGTCAAAAAGCTAGTCTGGTGTCATCATCATAAAGCATTCTTGGTCACACTTGGTCAAAATTTCTCCTGAGACACTTCTGTCAGCATGTGGTGCTGAAGTGTGGAACCCATTGCCATTCAGACTTCCCACATTTTCTTTGAATTCACACTGCCCCAGGGCATGGTGGGACATGAAAATAACAGCCAGCTTCCAGGCCATCCACTCACTGTGAACAGTGTGCAGTGGTGGCCTCCCACAGTTGGGCAAGCCCATCCCGGGGGTTCACTGACATAGAATTGGCCCCTGAGAGGGCTCCTTGCCAAACAAGGCCTGCAGCTTGAACCCCAGCCCTCAAAGGGCCTTCAGTGGCCACAGTCTGTGTATTTCAGGAAAGTTCACTATTGCTTTACATATCTTTTTGCCTTCTCTTTCTGCACCATGGAGATATAATCCAGACTAAATTCCACATTTTTAAAAGTCTCTCTGATTTCTGTTTAAGGAGGTTCTTCCACTGAAATGATTTTTTTTCCAAAACTGTCTCAGACCTTTAATATTTAATGTGTACAATGTTGGGGGGGGGACTGATTTTTACACTGGAACCGACAAGTTTCATATAGCTTTTGGACTCGGTAGCTATTGATTGACGTATTTTCTATAAAATTACCTAAGTAATTATGGTGTCCTGTTATAGCAAATGCTTTACATTGATGATAATGTATGCATTGCATAAAGAAGAAATACTTGGTTTTGTCTGTTCTATATCTTTTACTCGTCAGCTACAACGTTATCACACACACATTGCCAGTTTGTATCACTGCACTGGTTGCTGTCCATTGTTTAGCAGCTGCATGCCAGCTGCTCAGTTCCTGTCACCAACCATCACGTGGTGCCCACTGGTAAAAATCATTAAGCTTTTGCCCCCTTGGTCCAAGGTGGCCATGTATGCATCTCTAAGAAGGAGGAAATTCATTGCCAAGTAAGTAAGTAAGGAAGTACAGTGGTTCCCCGCTTGACGATTACCTCGTTAGACAAGGAAATTGCTTAACGATGAAGTTTTTGCAATTGCTTTTGCAACCGCAAAATGATGTTTTAATACGGAAAAATCTCTTCACGATGATTGGTTCCCTGCTTCGGAAACCTATTTTTCGCTTAATGACGATCAAAACAGCTGATTGTCGAGCTTTCAGAATGGTCGTCCGCTGTGCAAAATGGCTCCCCGCTGTGTTTTAGGATGGATTCCTCACTTTACAGAACTGGAAAATGGCCGCCCTATGGAGGATCTTCGCTGGACGCTGAGATATTTCGCCTATTGGAATGCACTGAACCGGTTTTCAATGCATTTCAATGGGATTTTTACTTTCGCTTGACGACGATTTTGTTCTACAGCGATTTTGCTGGAACGGATTACCCTCATCAAGCGAGGCACCACTGTAAGTAAGTAAGTCAGTAAGTCAGTCACTCAGCCAGCCAGCCAGTCAGTCAGTCAGTCAGTCAGTCAGTAAGTAAGTACATAAACAAACAAACAAACATTGCAATTGATGTCTACAGATGCTAATTTAGAAACAATAGTTATATCTTGAGTACAAATGCCATATACCTCACCAATGGAAGTGGGGGAGTGTCTGTGACTAAGAGTTGCGTGAATGCTCAATCTTTTATCCAGGTGCTAAAGCAGAGGGGAAAAAGCAAAGTGTGCTGCTTATATTGCTTAAAGCACTCTCTGGTCGGTTTACAATTTTTAAAATTACAGTGGTGCCTCACTAGACGATGATAATCCATTCCACTGAAATCGCTGTTTAGCGAAATCATTGTCTAGTGAAAAGCATTTCCTCATTGGAATGCATTGAAACCTGTTAATGCGTTCCAATGGGGAAGAATCGTCGTCTAGCGAAGATCGGCCATAGAAAAGCCGCTTTGCGAACTGCCGATCAGCTATTTAAATCGCTGTCTTGTGAAGCTTAGGTCCTGAAAATACCTGTTTTGCGAGCGCAGAGGAAGCTGTCAAAATCATCATCTAGTGAAAATAGGTTTGCAAAGTGAATTTCCAGTGAAATTCCCCCATAGGAACCACTGTTTTGCGAATCGCTATAGCGATCACAAAAAGTCAATGTCTAGCAAAAAAAAAAACCTGTCATGCGGAGTAACTGTCTAGCGAGGCACTACTGTATACAGGCTCCACATTGTCTCCCCGACTGTCTAGCGAGGCACCACTGTATACAGGCTACACATTGTCTCCCCGCTTCATGAGCTGGGTACTCATTTTACCAACCTTGGAAGGTTAGAAAGCTGAGTCAACCTTGAGCCAGCTGTCAGATCTGTTGATATCAAATTCTAACAGTGAACAGAGTTTGGGCTGCAATACTACAGTTTAACCACTGCACCACGAGGCTACTGACTGTTGACGGGAAATTTCAGGGACTGTCCTCTCCCTTTGTAGAGTTTAATTTTGTAAAATTACACTAGATCTGGACTGAACGACCCTTCATATAGGTCAGGGAAAGATAATGTGTGATCTTCCAGGTTTTGTTAGACTGCAAGACCCCTCAGCTCTAGCGAACATAGCCACTGATGTGGAATGCTGGAAGCTGTAGTCCATCAACATCTTGTATGGCCCCCATCCCTGATACAGAAAATATCTTCAAAAGAAGATTGACCTCTGTAAGTGGGCATATGCCTCTGCTATTTTAGTTGATGCTCAGTCAGATTGACCCAATGCTACTCTCAGAGCCATGCAACAGCAAATGCTAAGGCCAGAGTTAGACAATGATAACACATTTTCCCATAGCAAGGCTATTCCTTCACAGCTTCATGTCTGAGTAAGCAGATTACACATGAAGCCCACGTTTAACACTCTACACCCAATCACTAAGCAAAGCAAAGACATTTGCAAAATGCAAAAGTGACAAAAAGCTTGGCGTTCAACTTGGTGTTCAGTGGTAGCCTACGTTCTACTGATGCAGGGACCCCTATAGAGTAGAATTCTGTCCAGGAAGCCGTTATTTAAAATGCAATCCTATTCATGTCCCCTCAGGAATAATCCCCATTGGATCAGATGAGGACTTACTCTTAGGCAAGCGCAATGAAAATTGCAGCCTTTGAGGACTGAACTCGCTTTAGAATGCCATTCCCTATTGTGGCAACCACCTCCTGGACGTCTTTCTAAAATGATGCTAAAATGGCAGCTTTCAGGTGATGTGTAAGAAACCTCCCTATTACAGCTGGCTTTTGGCTAATCAGCTGGGCCGCTCCCTTTGAGAATTGTGCTGCTTCATGTTAATAACTTCCTTTTTATGCATGACACGGTTTTGTGTAATTCCCCCCCCCACTTAGTTCTGTATAGCAAGCAGTCGTCGTTTAGTCATTTAGTCGTGTCCGACTCTTCGTTCAAATATTACAGGAGCAAAAACCAATAGCCCTGGTCAGATATTACAGGAGGTGACACTGATAGGACACAGCTGCAGGCACATGCCGTTCTCCCCACTCCCAAGGTTTCAAGACTTCTCTGGGCCTTTCTCACATTTGCGGTAGGCTCTTTTCTAATTGGTTTTATCTTACCATGTGATTAGAAAAAGATCATTTTCTAATCTCATGTAGCATCGTTGACATTTTTAGTGCCCCACAAAACTAGCTAAGAATAGCATGGCTACCTGCAGCCAGTCACTTTTTGATTTCGAAATAATGTAACTAATACTTAGAAACTTCCTTTTTAAACGAGGCAAAGATGTTACATTCAACAGCTATTCTTAAGGGTATTTTTAGAGCCATTTCTCAGGTTTTTTGCCTTTCTCATCAATCCTAAGCGGCAAAGGAACTACAATTCTCTTTTGTATTCCTTATATTTCCAATATGCAATATCAGAAT